TAGAATGTTTCAAATTTATAAAAATATATCATTTATTATATGAACACTAATTAAAATTTATAAATTTTATAGAATATTGTAAAACAGATTCAAATTTCCCATTCAAAATCAAAAATGTGATTATCAACCTTTACAGGTTAATTTCTCTGAAAACAATTGTGATTTAAAAAAGAAATTACAGTATTTTAAATAGCCTGATTTAAATCTGGCAATCGTTTGGTTCCATTATAAAGTATTGGGCTTTTAGATGTTTATATATGTTAATAAAAAGTATTTTAACATATATAAACATCTACATAAAATCATACATTTTCAATTTTATTTAATACAATATAGTAATAATTTTATAAAATATACAATCCACAAATCTCGGACTTAGTCAAGCAGGAACTAAATATCACTTTTTGAATGTTTTTGTTTGAAAAATGATATTTGATTCTTGCTGGACTAACTCTGAAGTTTATGGATCGTATATTTTGTACTCCTTTCGCCCAATTCTGACTTTTAAGAATTATTACTAATAATTTTATACCTGATGAATAACTTGTAACCATTATGTTAAAACTGGGTGATTTTGAGATAGATATATTTTCATCATCCAATATATATGAAATAACATCGACTACAAAAGGAGCATCGTTTTCTGTTGTGAGAATAGTTGGTTCAACAGATGTCCAGTTTGAAAAGTCAAATACTTTACATTCTGTAAATTTTATAAAATAAATATATATACACTATATTTTATATCATACATGATACAAAATTTTACTTACCTGTATTATTATAAATAGAACAACTATATGTTTGATTTTCTGCCTAAAAATACAAAGTTTTAATTTAATTTTCAGTTATATTATATAACGTAATGCATAACATATTATAGTGTACAACAAAATGCCTATTAAGATTTATATACTTTTTTTATTCTTTCCCTTGTGAATACTAAGAGGATCTTTTAATCAAACTCATTGTGGGTTCAAACAGTCTACCAGTGATAATGGCTGGGTAATGGCAAACAAAGCTCGACATATCCAGGACAGACTACCCAAGGGTTCTGACCAGATTTGATCCCATTTCTCCTGAAACAATAAGCTGTGGAGCTCTCAACCGTCTACTTTTTATGCAGACAATCAGCTTTTTGAGGATGCTGTTTTCATGTCTGCTATGTTTGACATTTGTCTTTTTTGTCTTAACTTCAAATTATCAATCTTCAATTAAAAGGTATTTTTTATTTTATGCTTTATTTCAATAACAATAATTTTTAAAAAATTTTTTGAGGGAGTTTAATGGTTTTCTTTTGAAAAATATAATAGCTTTTCCAACATACATTGCATGATTTGTTTCCAAATGTCTTTAAAAGCTTGAAATCTGAAAATGTTTTACTACAAATAATATAAAATGAGAGATGCTTGCCATTAATTTCCTTATATGAAAATTCATATTTTAAAAATTCTGCAACTTATTTCATTTTCTTACAATTTATTTATTTTTACTTGTTCTATCATTTACACATTAAAGCCCTTTTTGTAATTTAATTGACAATCAATTGAACGTTGTTTATATTTTTTCTTTAGCTGCCAAAGAAAAAATAAAATATATATGTTAAAAAAATATATATATATATAAAACTGTCTCAAACATTAGTCAAAGAATCAAATATTTTATCATAACATTTTCTAACAATACTAATACAGAGGATGAGATGTTTGATTTTACTAAGTTTTAATTTTATTTTAAAATTGATTTTTTGATTGACCTTGTGAGACTGAAAGAGTATGCAGAAATCTTTTTCTGACTAAGGCCTGGACACCACATTACCTGAAAACAAATTCAGAAACAGAACTGAAAAATAGAGTTTTTGTTATAAGTAATAGATATGTATATATAGAGTTTTTGCTGTCAATTATGTTTACATTTTAACTTGACCAAAATGAACATTACACAGAAATGCACCACCCGTTGATCAGTTCTGTAATCCCTGTACACTTTCCATTTCTGCTCAGCTTTGTTCCCTATTTAAAGCATTTTCTAACTAAATGATTCCACTTTAGGATCTCTGTGCAGTATACCAAACTTTCCAGATTTCATGCCAATTGTTGTTCATAGTGTTTTAATGATGCATCCTTAAATTTTTTGTATTTTTTGTTGTATAGACATCTGTATTTTCTGACTTCTTCAATAAATACTTCTAAATTGATTCTCATTCTCTTTGCTATACTTTCTACCATTAAAACAATATTACACATGAATATTAAAATGCTACACATCACAAATCTGTGTGTTTTTATTGGTTGCAGTACGACAGAAAAGTTAAATAATTTTTAACTCTGCTTTTGGTCTTGTTTCTGTCCAACTGAATGTTCCAAAACTGAAAGTTTCGTCAGTTTGGTTATCAGCTTTATAATTCTGTTGCAGATTTAGGTGATGTGGAGTCCAGGCTTAACTTCTTATTCAAATCTTCTCTAATGATCCTTTGTTTTATCAGTTGTGATATTTTAAGTTGCTTGGATATCATACTCTTTAACATCATCAATTTCCTACTTAACTGCTGAAGTTCTGACAAGACATCCTTCTGGATGATGAAAACCCATTTTTTTTTTTTTTTAAATCTTAGCTCATTAAAATTAATAATGCTGCATATAGATTTGAGAAATTACAATACTATTATTATACACTTATTTTAAAATGCAACAGGATGACAAACCGAGTTTCTATCATTGACTGCCAAAAATAATCAAATTTCTTTGGCATTTTTGAGTAAAAAATGAGATACTTTGGAAGTAGAATGTAAAATGATTGCTTAGCAACAAAATACAAACTTTTATGCAACAGTTTGTTCCATTTGAAATTACACTTCAATTCAAACTGAGTAAAATAGCATGCTTTACCCTTTGTATATATTGAAATTTGTAAATAAAAAAATGTGTATGTATTTGATTTTTGGTATTTTATATAAAAAAAAACAGCAGCAGCTTACCTGTTTAAATTACATTTGGCCAAAATGTTTTTCCTCATTTTGCATTTTGATCTGGCATGTAATGTGCAACTCATAGAACTAACATAGAGATCTGGGAATATAATGGTATGAAACGACACTGTGCAGATATGAGACTATTACAAGTTTTTATTAAACTTAAGATTTTAGTGTAAATAATATTTACCACTAAAAAATCAATCACACAATGTGCAAATGACTGAAATGTTGGTATAGTTTTTTTTACTGTATCTAATCTTTCTACTTAACTATCTCAAGAAGTTGTTTTGGTATAGACTTGCATATGTCCATGATTATAACTTGAAATTAGTACCTGAATACCTGACTGATTAATCAGGTCTTCATGGTCGTTGTTGATCTTGGCATATCTGCATTCTAAAAGATGCCAAATAATTTCTACAATACTTGGATCTGAACTTTTCTTTCGGGTCATTTCAGAACATTCATATTGTTGGCTAGATGACCCATTACGCTTTGTGTGTTGATACATTATCCTGTTGCCTTATTCATTTTTTGTAGCCAAACTGATGCTTGATTCATGGGAGAAACATGTGCTTGAATGTTGTTCGATAAGCACTGCTATTATACTTCTGATTGACAACTTTTACATTAGATTTGTCATTGAAATGACTGCCTTCTAAAATCATAACACTTCCTCCATGCTGCTGGTGATAGCTTGGTGCAGTGAATCATAACTGAGAATATGCATATCATCTGAATCATCTGGAATTTGCCCATCACCATCTCTCTAAAGTTACTAATTATAATATGGATGTTTTTTTCATATGGAAAGTAATTTTCTCTGAGTGGCTAGACAACTTGTGTAGCAGTGACTTCATTGCATTAAGATGAAACGTTTCATGATAATACAATGATGTCACTGATAAAAAGCTTTAAACCTTCACTCTGTTCATCAAATAGTCTGTATTTTAGTTTAAGAAAAATAGAAATTTTGACATCAGAGAAATATCTTAGAGGGATAAACAGCATGTGTTTAACTACCAAATAAATGTTAGTACTAAATATTACACAAGTTTCATGTAGCGATGTTCTCCTTGTAAGTTAATAATGTCCATTGAGTAGCTGTTGTTCAATTGAAACATTTTGTTTTTCTAGGCTGATATAACTGTTCTTTCTCCAATCATCTGTTTCTCAAATCATAACTAAATAGGTCTGTAGCCATTCTAGTTTTGCTTCATCTAGTGTTTTGGTAAATTCAACAGATGCCTTGGATATTTCTGGCCCTTTTTCATTCTCTGATATATTCCTTTTATTTTTCCTTTCTGTATGATCTTTGCTGATCCTTCCATCCTTTGCATATGGTGTAAGTTGTTAATTTTCAATATTTAGCAAAGTTTTCAATTATTTCTTTCCATTTCTCTTAACTTTAATAGTTTATACCTTATCTTTACTATCTTTTCTCAGGCAGTTCTATGTATAATTTTTTCTTTTACTTCAGTTTCCAGTTTCATAAACCATCCTTGCATTGTTTCACAATGAGCTATTTTTATTGCTGTTTTAATTTTTGCTTATTTAGCTATAGCTTTTTTTCCATACTGGGTTGAAATATATTTGCAATTCTTTAAATGCTAACTTTTTGCATCAATAGACTGTGTTTCTGACTTTCATTATCATCGTTATCTGGTTTATTTAATTTTTGGGCAACTCAGTCTCTCTCTTACTGCTGCTGTTAATATCTTCTTAATTTTCTATTATTTGTTCTCTATCACTTTATCATAATCAATTTTTTCCCTCTTTCTTATATTACTTTTGTTTATATTCCTTTTTTTTTTCTGTTGCTTTGTAACTCATGTTGTGCAGTATACCAAACTTTCCAGATTTCATGCCGATTGTTGTTCATAGTGTTTTAATGATGCATCCTTAAATTTTTTGTATTTTTTGTTGTATAGACATCTGTATTTTCTGACTTCTTCAATAAATACTTCTAAATTGATTCTCATTCTCTTTGCTATACTTTCTACCATTAAAACAATATTACACATGAATATTAAAATGCTACACATCACAAATCTGTGTGTTTTTATTGGTTGCAGTACGACAGAAAAGTTAAATAATTTTTAACTCTGCTTTTGGTCTTGTTTCTGTCCAACTGAATGTTCCAAAACTGAAAGTTTCGTCAGTTTGGTTATCAGCTTTATAATTCTGTTGCAGATTTAGGTGATGTGGAGTCCAGGCTTAACTTCTTATTCAAATCTTCTCTAATGATCCTTTGTTTTATCAGTTGTGATATTTTAAGTTGCTTGGATATCATACTCTTTAACATCATCAATTTCCTACTTAACTGCTGAAGTTCTGACAAGACATCCTTCTGGATGATGAAAACCCATTTTTTTTTTTTTTTAAATCTTAGCTCATTAAAATTAATAATGCTGCATATAGATTTGAGAAATTACAATACTATTATTATACACTTATTTTAAAATGCAACAGGATGACAAACCGAGTTTCTATCATTGACTGCCAAAAATAATCAAATTTCTTTGGCATTTTTGAGTAAAAAATGAGATACTTTGGAAGTAGAATGTAAAATGATTGCTTAGCAACAAAATACAAACTTTTATGCAACAGTTTGTTCCATTTGAAATTACACTTCAATTCAAACTGAGTAAAATAGCATGCTTTACCCTTTGTATATATTGAAATTTGTAAATAAAAAAATGTGTATGTATTTGATTTTTGGTATTTTATATAAAAAAAAACAGCAGCAGCTTACCTGTTTAAATTACATTTGGCCAAAATGTTTTTCCTCATTTTGCATTTTGATCTGGCATGTAATGTGCAACTCATAGAACTAACATAG